ACTGTTATATCTCTCTAAATCTTAAAAAAAGTAAGATTTACCTCCACAGATGCCTGATTTGTCATATCAACCAAGCTACTAAGTACCAAGGGATGCCATCGGTTTCCTGCCACATGACAGGACTTCTTCCCCAGCATCAGTGCTGTGACATGCTGCTTGGCCTTCTTCATTCTCATCCTACTCAACCACTGTCACTCAAATGCTCATAAATGTCCGGAGGTCGCTAATAAGGCAGTGTGGATAGAACAGGAGGTCCCTCTATTAAATTAGCTTCAAAAGCCACTGACATGCAAGTTGGACATTTATAAAGAAAATAATGGGTCATATTGTACGCAAACAAAACAAAACAGTCGGTGGTCTTCGGTGAGATTCAGCATTTCTTGACAAAATGTGTTGAATGCTCTATTTGAACTAACCACAGAGCTTTGCTTTCACCTTTCTCTAAGGCAACATGATTTGTCTCAGAGAGCAAGCACTTTAGAGCCAGCAAATATGGGTTCTAATTTTGCTACCTACTGGCTATTAGACCTTCGTCTTTAATTTCATTCAAAAATTGAGACCTTGGTTTTTAATTTCCTTCAAAAATGAATATAATGGCTAGTTCTCAATGTTGTTATGAAGTTTGAAAGAGGGCATGGGGTCTTAAAGATAGATGGAACTCAACCTATAGTTTTCATCATTCAAAAAGGCCTTTATGAAACATTCTGTGGATCAACCCTGAGCTGAGAATGTATAAATGGATAAGCCCCACGGCTTGCTCTGAAAACATACATGATTTAGCAGGGAAAAAACAGGCATGAAAATGAGTGGTGATGATTCTCAGTCCTGGGTGCTGTTTTGAATACGTGGTAAAGATGGGATGGGCATAGAGCAGTGTGTCAATTGTGATGGGTACGTGAGGGAGGCATATCATACAATGCTTTTCTGAATAGATGTTCACAGTGTCTAGAAAAATGATAGGAGAATGATGGCCATAAGACAAAGACATTCTGAGCATTTAGCTCTCTAGTATTAAAAGCTTTAAGTTTTAGCTGTTCTTTCCTCCTCTGATTCCTCCTACTTCAGTTCTCTGGCTGGAATTCCATCTGGCTGGCCACTGCCTGAGGAGCTGAAAGGGCTAGGCAGTGGTTACCGGGAATTTGTTAGTCATGGTAGATTTAGCCACACACTGTTTTTGTACCCAATGGTATGAAATGCCCTGCTTGGTCCCAAGGGGAAGATATTTGGGGGTGGGGGAGTAAAAATATCAGTTGGGGCACTTGGTGACTCATTGAGTTCAGCATCCAACTCTTGATTTTGGCTCAGGTCATAATAACATAGTTTCTGGGATCTAGCCCTTTGTCGAGCTCCGCACTGACAGCATAGAACCTGCTTGGAATTCTCTCTCTCCCTCTTTCTCTCTGTCTGTCTGTCTCTCTGCCTGACCCCCCTCCCCACTCATGTGTATGCTCTTTCTCTCTCTTAAAATAAACATTTTTTTATAAAAATACCAGTTATTATCACTATCATGTAGCTCCTAATATGCTTTGCAAGTATTCCCCATTTGAGTCCTGCTTACACATTTCTTTCAGGAAATAACATAAGTTCCTTTGTGTCTGTAGGTCTTGACTTACAGACAATTCATTGTATTTGTCTTCGTAAAGTAAAAGGATAATTATATGTTGTAAAAGGATCTGTTTGAAATTCACACACTAAGAGAAACTGGCTGACTTTGCATGTGTAATATAAAAGGAGTCAAATTCTGTGAGCACTTCAAGGTGTCTTCCACATTTAATTTAAGTGTCACTAAAACTTTAAAAGGGACATTACTGGAATAATTTAGAGTAGAATAATAAAGTAATTAGTTTAAGGTAGTGATAAGTAAAATGAGATTACTGAATATTTCTTTGCCTTAACTATATGGGCTAGGCTAATGGTGAGGAAGCTATCAAGAATTCTAGTTACTCATTAATCTTGGTTAGCAAGCATCATTGATCTTTACCCAAGAGTGACTGCTGGTACTTTCTATACCAATGGAACATATACAGTAAAGGAAAGGATTAAACATTTTAAACAAAGAAATATAATTATCAATTAAGCATATAGAAAAAATGGTCATTTTCACTAATGAACAAAGAAATACTCATAAATCTGAATTATCACTTTATACCTATTAAGTTATTTTTAAAAATTATAATGTCAGTGCCTCTAAGATTGTGGTAAAGGTGATGAATATATATTTTATATTTAAAAATATATTAAATGTAATATGTCTGTAAGAGGCAATAAAATGACACAAATCTTTTGAAAAGTAATTGACATAAATCAAGAACATAATAAATGTTGGAGTTCCTGGGTGGCTCAGTCAGCTAACTGTCAGACTCTTAATTTTGGCTCAGGTCATTATCGCACTGTTTTGGGAGTTTGAGGCACACATCTGGCTCTGCGCTCACAGCACGTACACTTTCCCTCTGCCCCTCCCTCACTCACACTCTCTCCGTCTCTCAAAATAACTAAATAAACTTTAACAACAACAAAAGAACCTAGTAAATGTTTGCATTTGGGGAATACAGTCAAAGGAAGTTATCAAATAAGAAAATGTAATTAATATCAATATGTTCATTCTGCATTATTAATAATATTAAAACCTAGAAATAGTCCAAATACATAACCATGAAAAGATAGTTAAATAAATTATGTATTTTATTATAATATAATTTTATAATTATAAATTATTATATCTTGAGAGGAAGTGACATTATATAACACCAAAATAATCATTATTGAATCCTTATAAAAATGCTTAAATTATAATGAAAGGAAAAAATTCAGGGTGTAATGTTATATATGGTCTATATATATAAAACTATATGAAGCACATGTGAATATATAGAGTCAATAGCATAGCGTGGAAAATATACATACTTCGCAACAAGACAGGCTTTAGTTTGAATTCTGGCTGTTGATTTCTGATAAGTCATTTACATTCTGTATTTTTATAATATATAAGATGTGGATACTCATACCCACCTATAGGACAGCTACAGTAATTAAATTAGATAATTCTGTAACATCGGATACAACATAGTGGAATCATATGTGAGTTTTTATAGCTTTTTCTTATTTTGACTTTCGTTAATTTTATATTTTTACAGTAGAAAATATATTTAATTTGATATTGGTCACCAAACTTATACTCACAGGTACACACTTTGGAGCAGTGACTATATAGCTAAAAGTGATCTGAGTATTCTTATTTGGTACTAAATATGTTAAAGCAGACACACTGCTAAATCATACTAGTTTATCTAACAAGCACTTATGTAGTTTTAACACATAACAGACACTGTGCTAAATATTCTATTTCCTGAATCCTTAATACCATCCCAGGAGGAAAGTACTAGTACTATCCCAGTCTCACAGGTAAGAAACTGATATACAGATATTGGTAGTTAACTTGAGCAATGTCATATCAGTCCATGTAGTGGAGCTGAGATTTGAACTCGGGCAGTCTGGCTACATAGTCCAGCTCCTGAATCCTATGCTGCTTTTCAACTGGCCAATCAAAATATGTTCAGTGAACATATATAGTGCTCTACACTGTGAGGGATGCCAACAAACGTAAGGCACAATCCTTAAAGAACATTCTCTAGTTTTTAGCTACAGTCCCCAAGTTTTGCTCCCTTAACCTCACATGACGTCATCCATGTCACAGCTAAAAACTATTCACAGAGAGATACTGCTTCTCATCTATAATGACTGAAGTTTTGGATGAAAATCTGTAGCCTACAGCTTGGCTCTCTGACAGTGTTGGTGTTTTCAGAAGTGTGTGCTGAGAAATGGTGGAGCTGTGTTGTAGGTGTCTGATGTTCTGCAAATGATTGACCCAGGTTTCTCCTTATATTCATATATTTGTGTATACACACCTTCATACCCTATATGTGTATGTAACTAATAACACAACGAAGATATTAAATCAATACTGCAAACTAAAATTACACATCGAAACACATTTCATAATACATTTTAACACATAGAGAATCCACAAAGCATTGTTTCTTGCTGTTGGATTGTCATTGTCCATATCTTAGATGAACTCCTCTCTAACTGAAGACTATTCTGAGATTGCAAAGCACATTCCTACAGATTTGAAAAACTGTCAGCATTTGGAAGATGAGACAACATGATAGTTAAGAATAATGGCTTTAGAATCAGTGTAGATGCCATCCGAAGCACAGGTATTTACCATGTGACTTTGGACAAGTTTCTAAACCTCTCTTTACCTTAGTTTCATCTGTTAATGGGGATAGTGCATACCTCAGAGGACTGAGAGAGTAAAAGTTATAAATGTACAAATTTAGAAAAGTGACTTAGACAATATAAGTGCCTAATGAACAATATAATTCTTACTGCAACTGCTTATCTATAAGTCAAGTCTTATTACCATGTGACCAAAACAAGATACAGAATTACATTAAATTCTAAGGTTGGTATGCAGCCATAAGTCTCATTTTTCAAGTTTTTGTGTTCATCCAGCAGCTGAATTGTTATTAATTTTACAAGCAAGTGTTACAAGTGTGAACTAAAATGAAAGCTTATACTAATTAAATATGTCTCCAATGTTCAAATCATGGTTTTAAACTTTGTTATTAAAAATGTTCTGCATTAAAAAAAGTAATACACTATATTATAATGAAGTTTATATTTCTATGCTCTTTGTTGTCTCATTCCAAGGGGAAAAAATTACCTCTTTCAAATATTTTTTTTCCATTCATGCCTGTCATTTGAAGATTACTTCATATGAATAATATATGTTGAAATCAAGTTATAAGGAAATATTAAACCCTTATCTGGTAGAGTACTAAATTTTGTGGATGATTCTACTTATCACCAAAAAATAGCCATTCAATCTCTACTGACTTTCTTTCAAGATCGGTCCTTTACTTGACAATAAGACTGATGAGAATGTGCAAAGACATTTTAAAATAAATTATCTGTATTTGTTTTTGTTTCTTTGTTGCAGTCATTCTCAGCACAGCACAGCAACCCGCCAGCCTTCCGTGACTCTGCAACGGGCCATCTCCCTGGAAGGGTAAGATAATAATATGGAGACTTCTCTTAAACTAAACTCTGCAGCCTCATCACTTGAGTGTTAAGAAATTTTCTTTCTTTCTCCCTTCCTTCCTTCCTTCCTTCCTTCCTTCCTTCCTTCCTTCCTTCCTTCCTTCCTTCCTCCTTCCTTCTTCCTTCCTTCCTTCCTTCCTTCCTTCCTTCCTTCCTTCCTTCCTTCCTTCTTTACATTAGCAAATATCTATAATGCTTATGTTATATGCCAAATACTGTGCTAGGTACTATGTTTAACAAGTCAAAAAAAGATCTCTTCTTTCCCTTCAGAGCTCTCATTGTCTATTGGGAGTGACAGAAATACACACACATATATGTATCCAACGTAAGCATCACAAAGAGATGGATATAAGAGATTAAGAGAGCATCTAGGATGGACATGTGGCTGAAAATGGGCATCAAAGGATGGGGGAAGCAGGTCAGAATGGTTTCAGAGAAGACATAACTCTCAAGCTGAGAACTGAAGCATCTGTGAATATTTGGTGACAGACAATGGGAGTAAGGGTACTCTGAGCAAAAGAAAGGGCATGTGCAAAAACAAGAATACATGAGTAAGCATGAGGTATCATAAAGCCATTAAGTGATTGAGTGATGTGTCCTAGGGTGTGTGAGACAGTGGAGCAGGAGATAAGAATGGAGATGTTTCCTGGGCAGGCTTACCAGAAGAGGACTTAGTGTTTTGTATTTCTGAATTCCCCAATCAGATAAAAGCTAGAGGGGTTGGGGGGGTGGGGAAGGAGCTAATATTTCTCTCTACTTGCTTGATAATTACAACTGGTTTAACTGAGAAATTTTAATTGGTTAATTTATAAAACTTAAATCATTTTACTTTCCCAATATTTGTTACCAACTTTGCTTCAAACCTATTTCTCATTGACAGGTAGGCTTCCTTAATGGCATTTCAATTCAAATCTCTAACTTCATTATTTATTAGTGCTTTCTGTTTTAAGAGTTTATGTTTTGTTCAGACCTCTGCCCCTCCTTCTAACATAATTAGGACTTGAGTTCCACCAGAATGTTGGGGAGTTGACAGAGGTGTGGTCTTCTCTTCCTCACATCACCCTCTAGATCATCATTTCTCTTAGGTTTCTCCTCTGGTAGTATTGGGGCAAAAAAAGGAAACCAGAAATGGCATTTCCTTATCATTCCACTGTGGCCAGTCCCTTTTTCTTGGTTTTCTCTGGTGATGTAGCCTGGATGGGTAGATAACCACCCATGTACGGATGCAGGGAGACTCCCACAGTTCCCCCGCCCCGTGATCCATTGGGTGACTCAGCTCTCTCTTCCACAGAACTCATAGCAATGGCACACTGTGCCTTCCCATGCGCTCACCCCTGCCTGAGCCCTAGAAGTCCCACCCAGAGTTGCCCTTTCATATCTGTCCTCAGCAGCTTCAAACAGGAGGCTTGCAGGCATGAGCAGCAGCAATCTTTCCCCCTCCTCAGGTGGAGCTTTCCAGGGACAGCCCTTGCTTCTTCTCTCTCTGGCTTACCTTCTTGTCTTCTCTGTCCAGGGTTCTTTTCCAACCTGGGTAGCAACAGGGCAATGCAACAAATTCCATGGCTAAGTGGATATCCACCTGGGAAACAGTCATTCATTTTTACTTCCTGGAAGAGTATAAATACTATAAATACTTTTCAGAGGGCCCTTTCTTGCCCTCAGCTAAGGAAAGCCCTTGCATGCCCCTAAACCAATAGGAAGGTGAGCAAAAGGAATGTGGCTTCCCAATGGACACTGCACTCCCAGAAAAGGACACCTCCTTCACCTGGTAGCCCTCCTTTTCTGTTTGTGATGGTAAAGAACGTCAAAGCACTTTGGTTCCTCTAATAAACAAGCAAAACAGAGAGATAGAAGTGGTCTTTAAATATGAATTTAGCTCTGGAGAATTAAGTAACTTTCTTCTCAACAAGGCAGTGTCTTCATTGTAACATTTGTTCTAGTCCATAAAAGGGGGGGAGGGGCAAAGAAGTAATCAAAACTTCACCGCATTTGGTTCTGTAGTAACGTTGAAGGTGGTCTAGATTCTGGATCGTAGCCAGAATCACTGAGTTGAAATCTGGGCTCAGGAACTTAGGAGCTGTATGCTAACAAGTCACTTGGTTTTTGTTTTTGTTGTTGTTGTTTGTTTGTTTCACTGATTTTATATCCTTCAATTTCCTCATCTGAAAAATGTATTTCCTTATAGAGTTTTTCTCAAGAACTAAAATTTATTATTTTTATAATATTACTGGAATTATATGTGTATTTGCTATAGTATAGTATAACATTCCTTGCTGTTGTTATTGTTATTCATAACATATGCTTAATTTATCAGGTGAGAGAGTTTCACATTTATATTAGATAAAGATTCATTAAAACAGTCAGGGACTGGTGTCATCACTACTTTAGAGAGGCTTATTCTATATACACAGGTAATACTCATTTGTGGAAGCAATCCAAATCACTGAGTTTGCTTCATTGCTGAGTTAATATTTATATACAAAAGTATTTTAATTGCCAAGATTATACTTAAATTCTTGTTAAACACATTAAAGAGCAGTATAAGCCTTTTCTACATATTGGCTTATCCTCAGCTTCAAAAGAAAGAATATAGAACCTGCATAAGAAATGCTCTTACATTTCTGGAGTATATATCTGAGCAAGTTTAAGACAGAGAGTAAATGAACAGATAAGAAAAAATAGTCTCCCCAGCCTGTGGAACATTCTCCCATTGGATTTGAGAATGTTCATTAGTCAACACTTGTGACTGAACCCTCCATACCACCCCCATTGATTTCCTCTTTCTAGAAAGTGCCATAGCTTAGAAAAACTATTCTGCAAAACTCATTAATCACATTCTTCAAAGAACTGTGATCAGTTTTGAATTCTGCATGTTAAATTGGACATGGGGAGCTAGCATGGAAAGGACATCCAGAGTAACAAAGGGATGGGACAGCATTTTATCAAGGAAAAGTTGACAGGGTCAGGATTCTATGATTTGAAGAAGGGAGCTCATAATTAATCAGATTACATTCAAAATGTGCAACTTGCTGGGAATAAAAGTACATATTCATGGATAGTCCTTCAAGGGAAGAGAAAAGAAACTACTTATCCAGCACTTATTAAGTACCTGGTATGTTCTCATTCTCTCTCTCTCTCTCTCTCTCTCTCTCTCTCTCTCTCTCTCCTCATTCATCTTCTCTAATTTTATTTCCCAAATTGTCTTATGAAATAGGCATCCTTTTTTCTGTATCTTGATTCTCAAGAGGTTAAGTAATTTTTCCAAGGACACCTGCATAGAAAGTAGCACAGTTTGGATTTGAAATCAAATTGGAATCTGCAGTACAACAGTGAAGCATGAAAAGTCTTTATTGAGCTGGAGAGCTCTGGTCCCACCATTCACAAAGCACTTGTAGGACAAGTGAGACTTAGTGAAGAACTTCCTAGGACTTTCATTTAAAAAATGATAAAGAACTAGAACAGACTCTAAACCTGGAAATCATTAAACAGAGCTAATAAACCTACCATTTGGGGTGGATCTGGAGGTCCATGTATATGCTGCATGGCAGAGATGTTGTTTGTGGTACAGATGCAAGTGGGGAGCTGAGCTTCCCACTGGTCTCAACTTCACCTTCCTTGTTCCTTATGAAGACTTCCCTTGGCAGCGTGCAACATGGCTGCCATATTACATATTGGTCATTAACATAGAGAAGATTTCCTCCAGCTATTCTAAATAATGGTGTTTTCTTCTAAAGCTATTTCCAAATCTTTTCTTTTTTCTTACTCATGAAAGCATATTAGTAGTTTGCCAGTAAATATTGTTTTAGCATTTTGCACTGTTTTCCACCTGAGTAAAATGACCTCTGTGATAGCCACAACCACTAATGCTACTTCTCTGCTGAGACCAAAAGTTTGAAGGCCTTACCCTGACATCATAAATGCAAGAGTGAGTCCTTTTCTAAGAAACACAACTTGTAATCTCAGCTATACTCCATTGTTTTAGCTGATATAAAGCATTTTGCCTCATATCTAGGGAATCATGCACTATGAAAAATACTGTTTTCCCTGCAATCATGGAAGAAAGTGGACTCTGAAATCAAAACATTGGTTTTGAATCCTGGCCTCTTTGCCATCTGTTGTTATCAATCTCAAGACAGCACCCTTCCCCACTCTAAGCATGAGTTTTCTCCACAACCAAGAGGAGAGTAATCCAGGACTCACCAACTTTGTACAAAAGTAACAGGTACATATTAGACCCTTAGTAAGTGCTAGTTTCAATATATACTTAGTCCAAATGTTCTGAGAAAACAGAACTTTTATTTTTATAGCCTCGATTAGCTTAAAGACCCATATTGAACCCCTGCTATTAAATATATATATGTATGTATATGTATATACTGTATATTTAGATATACGTATTTATGTAAAACATTTCTGGATATAAAATATTTGAGGCAGAAATGATTTTTTTCTGCAGGAATATTTAGAAGGGGATACCTCAGTAGTTCTCCACAAAGCCCAGAACACTAAAATTCATACTCTAAGTGCCCAGCTGGCCAACAAATAGAGAGATAATGTGGCACACAATCATTGTCACTGAGCCCATAGTGGGAGAGTCATTTTTCACTTTGCAGAGGCCAGTGGGTCTTTAGCAGGATTCTCTTTAAGGTGTTATACTGCTGAGTGCAGGCAATCAACTGAAATTGGAAATTTCCTTCTTTCAAAACTCTCCTTCCTAATGCTTTCATGAAAAGCAACTACTTAGGATATTTTTTAAATGAATGTACCTTAAAAGTCCATATGCTTATATATTTTTCACCTAAGTTGCTATTTACTTGACATAAAATAAGTAGGAATATTTCAGATTTCCACTTAATTTGATCCATGAAGACAACAAAACTGTCTAATTGAGCCTCTACCTAGAGTTACAGCTGTTTTTTAAATTGATATCTGAATCATCTTTAACTATGCCAGACATGAAGAGGCAGAATAACATCCCCATTAACAGTGTGAGCTTCTTGCTTCAGGTTCAAGTTGACAGATAGAGCCCACACCTGAATCTCTTCTTCCTCCTAAGACCCCATTGAAAGGACGCTAAAAGAATAAAAAAGGGACAATCCCATAATGGTAAAGGAAGTGGGAGAGGCATCAAAGGCCAAAAGATTCCCTGACACTTCTGAATGACAGCAGATGGTGGGATATAGATGGATGAAATAGAGAAAAGCAGCCCCAGACTTAGATCACCCAGGGAGGCAGGGCCATTGTGTTCTATGTAAATGTCGTCTTCTAGAGTTGTTTCCAAGGATGCCACCCACAAAAAAGGCCCACCACAGTGCAGCAGCATTGGATGCCTACAGCTCAGGAGGCGGCAGAACTGCCTAGCAGAGCCCGGGAAATTCAGACTTCAGAAAAGATGGGACTGAGAGCAGAGTCTGAGAATAGGACTGAGGATACCCCCACTCAGCACACACACCCCTGATACAGAACAGCTACAAGGCAGCGATTTACCACCTGTCAGAAAATGAAGGCTCTCCTCTAAGGAAATAGAATTTCTCCTGCGGAATCTAGCTGAGCTAGTTTGCATGTTACCCACACAGCAGAGCCCTGCATGGTATGCCAATTACAGGGACAGTTTTCAGGTTTCCCTGCCTAACCTGAAGGCTTTCAGTGGAAAAGCCTTGCTATAGGCAGCATCCCCTAAAGCCTTTCTACTACCTCATTCTTAAATATGAATCGCCAGCCATGAGTTACCAAAGAGTTTAACAAAACCCATAAAATGACAAAACAAAAAACAAAATTAAAATACACATACACAGAGAAAAACTATCCTCAAAGAAACAAGTAATTCTGGGAACAAAATAGAATTTAAAGAAATACTCTCCTTATAAGCATATTGTTAACCGTATGAAGGTAACCACTGGAATTAAAAGTGAAATGATTAAAAGTGATTGCCTCTGGGAAACCAGGTAGGATTCTCAGGAAAGGGGACACAAGTTAAATTTTGAGGAATGAATTTGGAACAAGGTAGAAGTTAAAAAAGGAAAATCATTCAAAAACCTAAAGTACTTGGCTAACACTGCCAAAACTAAGAAGTATCTGCAGCTATCACATAGCTTTCTCTCATCCACCAGAGGGCATACACTTTGTTTTATCTTTAGAAGAACATTTCAGCAACATCATAGAGGTAGTTTTCCACTACCTGGAATTTTCACCTCAGTGAAATAGCTGCCCTGATGAGGTGTTGACCACCCTTTACAAGTAGCACTTAACAAAAACCCAGATTGCCCTCTTCAGAAATATTACAGAAGGAATTGTTCACAGAGTGGATGGCTTGTCTAATAGACCCTCACTAAAAATCTCTCCCAAATAGAGAAGTCTGTGAGTATCCAAAGGATAACAAAGAAGCAGTCTTGTCTGTATACAAATACATCTAGGGGGAAACCCATCCTCTCAGGTTAACTGTTCTGTGTTGATAGCATTATCATTCTTTCTTAGATGGACAGGCCTGTCTTGATAAGAATAGCCATGAACCTGGGGCACCTGGATGGCTAAGTCGGTTAAGCGTCCCACTTTGGCTTGGGTCATGATCTCACGGTTTGTGAGGTCAAGCCCATGTCAGGCTCTGTGCTGACAGCTTGGGGCCTGGATACTGCTGCAAATTCTGTGTCTCCCTCTCTCTCTGGATTGTGTGCACTCTCTCTCTTTCAAAAATAAACATTAAAAAGATTTTTTTTTAAATTTAAAAAGAAAAGAATAGCCATGAGCCTCTGTTTGACACAAAAGACCTCCTCCACACTCTAAGATCACTCTGGGTTCTTGAGACCATGCCACATTGACTGCAGCCCAGGGAGCCTCTGTTGAGCCTTAACAGGTGTGCTTTCCGGGAACACTCTGGGAATAGAATGTTGGTTGGAATCATTGGGTATCTTGTTCTGTACCCAATTCCTTTTGCCTTGATGGGAGCTTTTTTACAGCTAACATGATTCAGATTTTTCAGAATGATGGTGACTTAAAATAGTCTTGGTCTAAGTGCCCAGGTATTTGGTTCCAAAACATATGGTCACTGTAGAAAGTGTAAGCATTATTGACCTGAGAAGCAGGAGATTGGGTTCTAGGTTAATTCTGCCACCTCTTCCTGTGTGATTTTGAGCAGATCTTATATACCTTCCAACTCTAACATGATATGAGTTTTGAAGATAGAAATGTTTGGCTTCCAAACTTCTAGGAATATTTCCAAGCACAAAGCCTAAAGGACCACGGGGCTTCAGATAGCTGGCCCTCAGGGGCAACGGCTTGAGTCACCTCTGCCCACATACTCACAGATCCAAGCATCCTTCAGGATTCTATATCAGTATGAATGGTCAACTTTCTTCCTTACCCATAAGTCTGTCCAACACATTTTCTTACCCTGACCTTCAAAAGCAATGCTAGTCAATGTTTCCCAGGGTAACTGAGGGGAGCCAGGTATGCTGAAAAGTACACTGAACTACTTTCAGACTTGAAGGAGAAGCTTTATTCAGGTTATTGGTTGCTGAGATCACTGGTCAAAAATATGAAACTTTGTTAACTGAAGAAATGGAATTGATCTAACCAAAACAGGGGGCCAAGTTGGGTTAAGTGAAGAGATTTTTGTTATCTTTAGAATGAATTAAGAAAATATATATTTCTTGCCCTCTTCTTTATTTTGCTCTCCTGCTAGCTAAAGAATTTATTTTGGGAGACTATAGAAAACTAAAAATACAGCAACTAGGGGTCCCTGGGTGGCTCAGTCAGTTAAAGCGTCTGACTCTTGGTTTTGGCTCACATCCTGATCTCATGGTTTTGTGAGTTCGAGCCCCATGTCAGGCTCCATGCTAGTGGTGAGGAGCCTGCTTGGGATTCTCCTCTCTCTCTCTCTCTCTCTCCCTCTCTCTCTCTTTCTCTCTCTCTCTCTCTCTCTCTCTCTCTCTCTANTCTCTCTCTCTCTCTCTCTCTCTCTCTCTCTCTGCCCTCCCCCACTTGTGCTGCCTCTGTGTCTCTCAAAGTAGGCAAATAAAAATTAAAAAATATTTAAATATAGCAACTAGGTGATATTTAGAAATGCTTGGAAGAAATCAAAATTGCTCCCATATCCTCCAAAAATATTTTTTCTTATGACTTCAAGTACAGGAAAGACACATCAGCCTCTTGGGTAAGAGTCCCAGCCTCACTTTTGTTGCTAGGTCACCTGCAGAGGGATCCTAGCTGTGTGGAAGAAAGAAGGGAGTTACAGACACCTTCTTTCATCTAGAGAGGGAAGAGGGACCTTCAGAGCTTAAACCTCAGAGGAACTATTAGGAACCAAACAGAACAGCAGATAATTCCAGAGCGTATGTTTCCTGTAGTTCACACCATGTGTTTGCTTTTCGTTTCTCCTCATGTCCCTGAAGTTTCCTCCTCTGCTCCCACTGGAGCTGTCAGCTGATTCTCCTTAGCCCCATTTCTGCCAGCCTACTGCTGCTTTTTTCCATCTCCTTACTTGATAAGACATTCTTTCCCAGGCCTTGTAATCTTTCTTCCTTACATGTGTAGAACTGAAAGTATAAAAGGTGTCATCACAACAAACTTTAAAGATTGCCAAAAATTTATCAGTGTTGACAAAATGCTGAAACTGCAGAGAACGAGGGCATGTATATGGGCTGCCAATCCATGGGATGCTAACTCTCTCCCAGGGCCTGGGTTTCTGACGCCATCTGCTGTTGAAATAACAACTGGAAAAAAAACAAAAACAGAAAAATGTCCACTTTTGTGGATACGACAGATAAAAGTTTTCAAATTTGGAATGTCAAGTAAAATATCAACATAGATTTTGGGAGGTGACCTTGAGGATCTAGATTTATATATTTTTCAGCTAAAGACTTATAAATACTAACCATCATTATCATTATTATTTCATCAGAGAAAGACTTCCTTAAAGCAAGGAAATAAGAAAGACATAAAGAGTATACAGCACTCCAACATAAAAGCAGGCCATTTGGAGACATAGGCTGGAAAGTCCAAGGAGGATATTTTCTATATTCAAATGCTAGATATATAACATTAAATATTACCTATTTAATAGTAGGTGGTATGTTATAAGTGCCTTATGTGGATCTCATCTAGTTCTGATAATAATTGTTGTTTATGGGCACATTAACCTACTTTATGGTTGGAGACAATGAGGCTTAGAGAAGTTAATGGTGCCACCCAAGGTCACAGAGCTAGTAAGTGGAAGAATTGAGATTCAGAGCTAGTAAGTGGAAGAATTGAGATTTAAACCCACATTTTTAATACACTATCTTTCCTTGGAGTTTTATTATAGGTGTATTTATAGGTGTTTTATGATTACAAGTTTGCCAATTTGGAGGCCTAAGTAAGATGTTGAACTCAACATCTTTGAGTGTGGAACTCAATATGATATCTGCGGTTTGGCAGGTTTTTGTCATGATAGGCATTGTCAAAAATCCAGTTTTCATATAAGAACATAAACAAAAATAGCAAAAGCACCTAATGATGACTTCACTTATCTTTAAAAGTACTAAATTAGAATGAAGGGATAATATTTCCATACTGTTGTCATCTGTTTCACCCAGCAGGACTAGGAAGAAAGCCGGAGTGATAGGTCGGGAGTCTGGTTATCAAAGGCTGCTGGGCTATCCTGTTCGGTGGCCTTACACATGGAAGATGTTCATAGCCAGGCAGCTGGAATTTATTTTAGAGGGATGCCACAGAATCCACTAGGGAATTTGGTTTTGGTGTCTGTTTCTTATTCAATCTTATTTTCTGTGCATATTTCAATGCCAATGTGATTACTTAGCCCTGCATGTCTTCCTTGGAAACCCTTTTAGTTTTTAATAAAGTGTTTTAATAAAGGGCTCAAAGTAAGTGGTGAATAAGCTTCCTCCTTATTATTGTATAATTAAACATACTCAAAACAGTGTGCTGCAGAATATTCAATTAGAAAATTGCCCCTCTTCATCAATACTCTTAATTATTAATGCTAATAATAATATCAGCCATGATGTTGTATTGAAGAGCTAGTTAACATACTGAAGGACAGGGTGTCTGGGTGCCTTAGTTAAGTTAAGCATGGTCTGTTTGCTCGAGCCCCACTCTGGGCTCTGTGCTAACAACATGGAGCCTGCTTTGGATCCTCTCTCTCTCTCTGTCTGTCTCTTCTCTCAAAAATAAATAAACATTTAACATAATGAACCAAGGAGGGATTTTTTTTTAATTTTTAATGTTTATTTATTTTTGAGAGAGAGAGCATGCATAGGGGAGGGGCGGAGAGACGGAAACACAGAATGTGAAGCAGGCTCCAGTCTCTGAGCTAGCTATCAGCACAGAGCCCAACGCAGGGCTTGAACTCTAGAACCATGAGATCATGACCTGAGCCAAAGTCGGATGCTTAACCGGCTAAGCCACCCAGGTGCCCCAAGGAGGAATTTTTTAAAAGGCACCCAGTCATAGGTTTTTCAGCCTAGTAAAAATGAATACAGGAAACCTTTTCTATGACAGGATTTAGCTGCCCAAACTGGCAGAAAGATTTAACAGTCACAAATCTTCCAATTGTAATCCTGGCATCAACTTACTGTCATACTAACATCCCTCTTTGAATACTGCCCTTTTAAAGCTACTTTTACGGAGTTGCATGAGTTTGTGCCCAATCAATAAAATTAATTGGGAATATGATAATGAGCCCTGCAGACACTACCTCTGCCCCCTGTCTGGTGGGGAGAAGCAGATATTAATCAAATAATCACACAAACGAATATAAATCTGTGACTATGCCAAGCACTGTGAAAAAGTGGCCCGTGATGCCCTGAGTGCCTGTAATAGGGCCAGGAGGTCAGGGATGTCATAGAAGGCTCTCACCTAAACAATGAGGGGGCCTTACCCAGGCAAAGAGAAAGTGCCATCATTAATAGTGGTACAGGCAGTAATTACAAATCTGTCTGAATGTATTTCTGAGCTGAACACTGACTAGGGAAACATGGAGTCAGTAGAGCTTGCCATTTAGAGATTTATAATGAGGAGGCTGACTCATGGTTGACTGTCTCCTCCAGAGAGGCTGTCAGATGGAGGCTTGCAGTTGCTTTATCAGAACTACATGGTCTGCATAGATGTGATTTTCTGAATCCCTTCTCTCATCAGTTCTGCTGGTTGCTTGGCTTTTGTTTGATGTGTTGGTCTGCTTATTTATCTACCTGTGTGCCAGAACTCTGAGATCCTCCCTTGCCCCTGCTGCTTCCTATGCTTCTCTTCTTCTACGTCCTTTCCCTTTCTTACTTTGTTTTTTCCTCTCCCTTCCCTCTTCTCCATGAACACCTTCCTCCTTTAGTTTTTTTTTTATTTTTTAATGTTTTTATTTATTTTTGAGAGAGAGAGAGAGACAGAGTGTGAAAGGGAGAGGGGCAGAGAGAAAGGGAGACACAGAATCTAAACCAGGCTCCAGGCTCTGAGCTGTCGGCACAGAGCCCGACACGGGAATAGGCTCGAACCCACGAGTTGTGAGATCATGACCTGAGCTGAAGTTAGACGCCTAACGGACTGAGCCACCCAGGTGCCCCTCTTTTAGTCTTGATTCTGCATCCATTTCTTTTTTTAAATCTCTCTCTCCTTCTGCTATGCACCCTGAAGGTACTAGGCTCATGTTTGTCCAGAGTATTATAATTTACAAAGAAATCTCATGAACATTATTCTATTTCATAGAATTCTATGAAATTTCAATTTCATAAGACAGTCTGGGTAAGTATCATTTATCCTATTTGCAGATCTGTCACGAGGTAGGTGACTTTCTCAAGATTGTAGATCTGAGAAAGAGAGGAGCTTTGACTATAAACCGAATGCTTATTATGCAGCCCCATACTGTCATCACTAGATCATCCTACCTGAACACAAATGTCAAAGGCATCCCAACCATGTCTTTTAGTCCTATTGACAGAGGAGGTCCTTCTTTGCCCTGTCTTTATTATTCACAAAAATGAGTCTAGACAGAAGTTGTGGTCAGAGAGGTTTTCTGGTTGCTCATTCATCACATGGGCAGTAACAGCCTCAGTCTCATCTGCTGAATACTTACTGGACATTGCATTTGACCTTGAATTGAACCCATTATAAAGAATGATTTTCATTATATTTTTACCTTGCCTGGCTGTGATCTGGGAGATGGGATGGCTGCAGAAAGCAGGGAATGAAAAAGATTGCTTTGTGTATCATTTATCAGCCTTCATTAGATTACTCATCTTGAGACATCCATCTTTATATATCCAACTGAATCTGGTGTTTTTCTCTGCATATATCGCTTATCCCTCAGAGACCCTCAAATTCCATTAGGGTATTTGTTTACTTCCTCTTCCTGGCCAATTATAAAGAGTTTAAAGAAAGAGCACATCCATATCCTAAGCCACAGGCCAGATGCCCCTCTATTACCAGAAAAGCAGACAGTGGTCTTTATCCTTTATTTAATCTCTCTGTTGATTTCCAGTCCTGGAAATGTTTACTCCACTGACGTATGCTTTTAAGATGTCAGTCAGCAACCTTTATTGACTGATGGATCACAACTGGTAAAGACTCCTGCTAGTTACATACAAAGTCATACTGCTCAGGGACAATTATGCAGGAGAAAAGCACCACCCATCCGTTCATTCAGTTAGTCATTGATTTGACTGATGTACCTTTCATTCATTCTTTCATTCAACTAAGCATTCACTGAATGCCCAGTATGTACCAGGCACTGTGTGAGGCATTTAATATAATCAAGAAGAAGAAAGATTCATTTCCTGCTTTTGAGGAGCACACTGTCTATTGGGGTGACACAATGTTGAAAATTGCAATAATTTGCTAAGTTTGTGTCTTTGGAGTTTTAGAACAAAAGAACAAGCAGCTGATTTGGGGAAAACTGGTAGCACTGTTAGGATGTGGTTTGAGTGTTTCTATCAAGGGACTACCAAAACCAAAGTAAAAGGTACTCTCTTCAGACTGAGGAAGTTCCATGCTCATGTGGGCTGGTAGTAGGAGTTGGGAATTTTCATTTTAAGCATAGATCTATAAAAGCTCCACGGAAGGGTGAAAGGGATTCATGATTATCACAGCCTTTTCATTCTGCAAATGGAAAATTCTCTTGTGATCAAGCATCAATTATGCATATTGATGGGAAATCACATTTGAGTATCAATGTTGCATGATATTTAAATGTTTACATAAACCTATCTTTAGATGTTTACACAAACATCTCTCCCATTACAGTGCTTTTTTTGCACCCTTGAAATGCTTGCTTGTCCTCAATTTCCTCTCCTTGGTATAGCAGGCTAGTGTAATTTAAAGAACATGGTGTTTTGATGTATCTCTACTTTTAGTTAAATACTGGCTCTTACTAGTTTTATCACCTTGAGCTGTTACTGAACCTCTGTGAGCCTGTTTCTTTAATCTGTAAGATTAATAACTACTTCATAAAATTGTTTTCAAAATTTATTTTTTTAAATATGTAAATGTCTTCGTGTAGTTCTTAACAAGCACTAGGAACTGAATAAGAGTTAGCTCTCTCTCTTTTCTCTCTCCCCATATCCCATCTGCCCCTTCTCTTTCTAATATGCTAGAACCTCTTCCCTCTTTCCCCATACAAGGAATCAGTTGAGAAAATTTCCATTCATTGTGCATTTAACAAAAATTTCCTGTGAACTTCTCTTGTGCCCTCAGAGTGATACAGTCAGTAGTGTGGAAAACAGCCCAGCACATAGTAGAAAAACAAAGGAAGAGGAAAGAGTAGGTCCTATTTAGAAACAGACACCCTAAGTCCAAACACCCATCTAGACCCAAGAAAAACATTTCTTAATGGCAGACTTTCAGAAAGTATAGCGGATGAGAAAAGAATACTTTGGGGTAAAGTGTCACCTCATTCCATTCCTTATTTTACACATTACAGAATTAGTTCAGAGCCAATGAACATGTATACCAGCTCACATACATGAACACACGTCTACTCCTTCCATATATCTCCTCTACATTCCATTCAGTGGTTTATAGGAAACTAATACATATATATCCCCCAGGATCCCTTCTTGATTGCCTGTATAAAATCAAATCTCTGCCACACAACTTAATGCTTGGAATTTTCCCCTTGTTTCATGTGTGTTTCTCTCTTCTACTAGGCTCAAAACTCCTAAGGTTGCTTCTAGGTCCCATATTATTACATAATTATGAAGCAACTTCCCAAACACAGACCATGTTTAACAAATAATGATTTGTTAAATTTCGTTCTCCTACTATGACCTGAGGAATAAGGAACTCACTCTTCCTGAGTGACTGATTTTTCTCCACTTCTAATCCTTGTTTTACTAGAGGCAATAAGCCAACTTATCATTATTATTTTCCTCTCTGTGTATAGTTGTGTATGATAGTGAAAGCCACAAAGGCTCTTGTTGACAGTCAGAAGTATGAATGCTGCTGCTACCACTTTTAGCTGGCTGATATTAGACAAGAAACTTAACCTTTCCAAAACTCAGTTTTCTCATCTTGAAATGTGGAACATAATACCTGACTTAACTCTTCATAAATGTTGGTGATTATAATTAAAATTAAAGCTCATCTCACTAACCAAAATATAAATTTGTATTATATTCAGGTAAGAAAAAGACAAAGGGTTATAGTAATGGTTTATTCCCTCTTGCCAAATGTATTATGTAATTCATGGCAAATTTAGGTGGGTTGAATGTGTTATGGTTTACCAAGTTACAGGAGTGACAGAGCACTATCTGCCTATCTTTCTATCTATCTAAACTAACTAACTAAACTCTATATCAACACCCTTGGGATGAAAGAACCATGGCTGTCAAAGGTCGAGCCTTTTGTGTTTATAGGTAGTGGCCTTGCAATATTCTCCTAGTTTTAATTTATTTGGGGGACATCCTCAATTTGAGTGAAAAAAAGTTAACACGAGAATTAAATTTGCCAAATATCTAAGCTATTATCATGTCCAGCTGTCTACTTTCCATATGGGGAAACTATGTGAGTCCAGGGATAGGCAAGAGATTTTCTAAGGCCACGTTGAAGTCAAGACCAGAATTCAGTCTCCTAATGTCATGACCACCCCTTTCTTTCCAAAGGAGAATGAAGATGAACAACAATCTTCCTCTGGTTATTCTTTTCTCACCTTGTCATGCGTTCTCTGTATTTATCTTTCATCTAAGAATGAGATAAGGTATATTGAGCTTCCTAGAAATGTGTGACTTTACTTCTAAGATGTAAGGATTATGGCATGAGTGACATATCCAAGAGACCCAAATCAATTTGAACTGTGATTATGGCACCATTGTGTATCATATGTAGGGTTCATGAGTTAAGCAATTACAATGCCCTACTGCAGATGTACATACCAATGAAGGAGACAGATTCACTTAGAGCTTTTTGTTGTTATTGTTGTCATCATTGTTGTTTTGTTTTTATAGGGCTTCTTTTGCCTGGAAAAGGAATAATTGTTGGGAAACAGGAGTGATTTTAGGGGGAAAATTGTGGGAAGAGTTATAAAATATCAGAAGTATCTTTCCCTGTATAGTGCTGACCCCATGACTTGCCCATTAAACCATGTCTTGTCTTTCATATAACCTTCAGTATCAGGTCAGGCATGGCAAGAATTCTATATCGGGCTTTTAGACCATTGTAGTATGGAACTCACACTCTGCAAATGAGCACATGGGTTGTTTTTGTTTCCCCATCTCCACTCCTCCTACATCAAATGCTTTCATCTCTTTGCTCTACTCCCTTTGTTTTTCTTTCCCAGTGTTACAACTTTTTTTTTTTTCATCAAAACCAGCTTCTGAGGACCACCTCATTTGCACTGAGATGTAGATTTCTTCCAGGTTTTCATTTCACAGTCATTTATTGAGCATGTTTTAGGTATTAGGGACACAATAACAGATGAAAGGGAGTTCATATCTATTAGGCACTTTCTAGATATCAGACACTAACTCACAAAGTGAATGTGACACTCAAGAATCCAAGAGTCAAGCAGAAAAAGCAAGCATGCAATAAGTGGTCATCCTTGTAGAAGATTACAATCTTAGCTTACTGGTTTAATAATTGCCAGTTTACTCTTATGATCCACCACTATATTGTAAACTCCTGGGAAGCAGAAACTGTCTGCTCTATGGTTATAATTCCAGCCCCAGTGAAGCTCCCCTAAACTATAGCAGATTCTCAACACATAATTGTTAAACAGATACAAAGATAAGGCATGATGATTAAGACAGTCCATATGTGAATCCAGTGCAGTTAAATTTTATTGAAGCTAGTGATAGAGCCAAGGAAAGCAAAGGGTAAAGTCATGAAGAAAGAAATGGAGCCTCCCAACCCTACAAATGGAAGAAGCCAGAAAGCTGCAGGCAGAGAGGACTGTGCATACAAAGACCAAGGAAGAGAAGGAATCAGGTGTTTGAGAGAAGGTTGGTAATTCAAAGAAAATCAAAGAGTTACATCATGATTGAAATTCAGAGTATTTTTGAGTGTGCCAGGAGATGAGGCCACAAATACTTATTCAAGGAAGAAAATGTTGATGATTTTTTTAAAATCACTTTGTGTTAATGTCACTGTCCACATTTGGCTTTCAGATTTCACCATGGCTAAAGGAACTAGTTAATGAATGACTTTAAGAAGCTCATTCCAAGAAGGCTTTGAACAATCTCTATCTCTAAGCACAGGTGTCTAGGAAAAAATAGATTGGTAAAAGAAATGAAATCTTCCAGTTGGAAAAGCCAGCATGTAAAGCAGTGATCTTCCACTTCTTTTCCTGATGAGAAAAAAAAAATTCAGAAAACTCATCAGGGCTCAACTCATAATTATATAAAGCTTTCCCTGGAATTAGCAGAAAACAGAACTTGTAGCAGGAAAAAGCTACAGGGATATTTATACAATCCAGCACCTGTGTTACTCACAGAGAAGAGAAGAGCTAGATGTTTCTTTTAAGAGAAGAATTTTTAAGGGTCCAAGTATAGCTAAACGTTAGTTAGGTGTTTGTATTTCCTAACATATTATTTTTGAAAATGAATTTCACTAATAATCATCAATGATATTGTTCATGTTAGCAATTTGGCCTCTTTTTTCTATAGTAATTCTTACACAAATGTCTTAGGTATGGAGCAAATTTGAAATTCTGTTGAGGTTTATGGAAACTCTTGTCATTTGAATACCAAGGTCACTGCCTAGGCTCTACAGGTAACTATTCTTTACTAATATTACTGGCCTTTTATTTAAAATCAGTTTTCTATATTGAAGCAATCATGAGGGTTTGGTCAGCCTCAGTGATCCCCTTTCCTCCAAAGCAGGTTGTGCTCATAGTCTGTGCTTTGGGTCATGGAGTTATTAGCTTCAGGGTACATTAGCTTCAGAGAACTGTCATAACAAATTACTACAAACTGAGTGGATCAAAATAACAAATTTATTGTCTCTCAGTTCTAGAGGTTGGAAGTCTAAAATTAAAGTGTTGTCAGAGAGATATGCTTTCTCCAAAACCTGTAGGGGAATCCTTCCTTGCCTCTTTCCTAGCTTCTGGTGGTTTGCCGGCAATGTTGGATGTTCTTTGGTTTATAGCTCAGACATAACTCCTATCTCTGCTTCTATTTTTATATAGTATTCTCTCTGTTTGTCTCTGTGTCTTCACATGGCTATCTTTTTATCAGAAGACCAGTCAGACTGGATAAATGGCCTACCCTACCTACTTCAGTATGACCCCATCTTAACAGTACCTCTGCAACCACCCTATTTCCAAATAATGTCACATTCTGAGATACTAACAGGACTTCAACATCTGGGGGCGGGGGGGATGGGATTCAATCAATAACATAGAATGTAAACCTTTCCAAGGACAGACTATATCTTTGGTAGTTTTGTATCTCCAAGGTTCAGCTAGTGGGACCAGTGGCCCAGTGGCTGCTGTGTAAATTTTTGTAAATGATTGAAGGAATGTACAAACATTCTATTCTCCTGAGAACTGAGATTTGAGTCTCTGTTTACCCTATTCAAGAACATCATCCTGATCTGGACCCTGCCTCCAGGTCTCCTCTACAGCCCCTGTAGAACCCCATATTCCAGTCAAGCAAGAATAGTTAATTTTCTCCAAACAGTACATATTATCTCACTTCCTTCATTTATACTTTTCCTTATCCCTTCTACTCCCACATCTCTGTATTAAATCAGGGGTCTCTACTTGTTATAAAACTTACCCCAATTGTCTTTGGTTGAATGAATGATAATATAATTTGTTGTTTTTATCTACTTCCCTGTCCCACTAAAATGAGAGCTCCATGAAGTCAGGAACTGAATTGTGTTCATAATTATATTCCCAGCACCAAGCACAATACCAGGTGTGAATTTACATTGACTCTCTAGGGTTCTTCAATTACATGGACCACTTCAAGCCCCTGTATCTATGCCAGGCATTCTGCTGGGTACTGGGGACACAGAGGGAAAAGGGAGCTCATATTTATTAAGCACTTTTTAGATATCAGACCAGACACTAGCACTTTGGGTGAATAAGAAACTCAAGAAGTATAATGTTATACATGTAGTATTCTTTTTTTAAAGAGGGTACCCCAAATTATAAAGTCTTAAGATTTTGTAAAACTTGCATCTGCCCCTGCATAGCACCTATCAGGCTGAGCAAAGTAATTCTAGCCATATTTTAATGTGTAACTTAAACGTAGTCTCTTTCATCTAACTTTCCCTGGACCCACCCCAGAAATTATTTATCTCAAGACCCTCATAGAACTTTTTACATATCTCTGTTATTATGTTCTTTATAATAAATTATAGTTTTATATATTTTTGTTTAGTTTTATATATTCCCACTTTAAAAATGAAAAAAAAAAAACAGGCTCAGCAAGATGAAATAAATTATGGAAATCCAGGTTTCAAATTTAAGTGTGTGTCTGAAGCCACAGTGGGGCTCTTAATTTCTATTACAGAGAAATAGATCATTCTTTAGGACGTTAAATAAGATACATTTCCTGTGCTTAAAGAATTCCCACTTAGTGAAGTAGTCAGACATACTTTTTTTTAAAATTATGATTGCTATAATGCCCCCAAAACAAAATGCTCTGGGAACATCACCCAAGAGATAACTAAATGTGCCTGAGAAAGTTGTTTAAGAATAAGCCATTCAGTTAGGGATGGGCATTGTGAACAGAGGAAGAATACAAAGGCACATAAAGACCCGGCCATGAGAAGCATGCAGGAGCATGTAATAGGAGAGCAGGGGGCATAAGGAATGTGTTAAGATTGAAACTGTTCATTGAGCATAAATCACGAAGGCCTGATGTCATTCAAAAAGAACCTAAGGAAGATTTTTTTCCTTCAGGTAGTAGAGACACAATGGGAGCTTTAAAGAAGGGAGTGAAATTATTATTTATTCAGAGCAGTCTGAAGGAGAAAGGGCAGAGTGAGAAGCTACTATAAGGAATCTCTGGATCTCATGGAATCTCTGGCTAGTCTAGGTGTGAGAATCCATAGACTGAAACAACAGTGCAAGGATGGTTTGAGAGGCATTTCTGAAGTAAAATTGCCTGCATTTGTTGGATGACTAGAAGTGCCAGATGAGCAGGAAAGAGGCAGTCAGAAGTTTCTCATTGTACGATGGGGCAGACATTGTTAACTGAAATAAGGAATAAAAGAGGGGAAAAAAAAGTCTGGAGAAGTAACTAATTAATTCTTAGTTAAATAGAAGTCTAGAGTAGAGGAGACTGTGGCCTGGGCTGGTGATGTGGATTAGTGAATCATCAGTAAGGGGAAGGATAAGACCCCCCATTTATTAATTTGTTCAATAAAGGTAAAGTCCCTAATATGTGCCAGAACTATGCTAGGTGTTAGAAGCACAAGGTGATGAAGCTATAGTAGTGATTATATTACAGTGGGAGACGGGCAGTAAGCAAACATAATAACTTCATTGTAAGATAAGCATCATGAGGAAGACATACAGAAGACTAGAAGGCTAGAAAAGAAGATAAGAGTGAATGGAGTGGTCAGATAGTACCACTAAAACTGAGACCTGAGGGAAGAAAAGTTTCTCTGCAGGGAAGAGATAGAAGGAAAGAGTGAGAGGAAGCAGCCAAAGATGAAGTTTTTAGAAATACCATCTATGTACAGTGAGCAGGTAAGAAGAGCCCTTCAAGGAGACTATGGAGTAATGGAGAGATAAGAGAAAAAGAAAAAAAGAAAAAGAAAAAGCTCAGTTCTCTTTTACTAGAGAATGAGATTCTAGAACTGTGCTGTCCACTACAGGATCCACTAAACACATGTGGATATTTAAATACAAATTTCTTAGAATTGAATAAAGTGAAAATTAAGTTACTCTGTCATATCAGCCATATTTCAAGTAGGTAAAATACATGTGGCTAGAGGCCACCACATTGGACAGGACAAACAAGGAACATTTCTTTATCATAAAAAGTTCTGTCAGCAGTGCTAATCTAGAGTAAAAAGCTTATAGTATCAAAAGCTGAAGAGCTTAAGTACTTAAATTACAGCCATTTCTGTCCTCTCAGTTATCCTCAAGGCGACTTCTAAATGTATATTGAGAGCACCTGGGTGGCTCAGTTGATTAAGCATCCAACTTAGGCTCATGTCATGATCTTGCAGTCCATGAGTTCAAGTCCCATTTTGGGCACCGTACTAACATCTTGAAGCCTATAGCCTGCTTCTGATTCTGCATCTCCCTCCCTCTCTGTTCCTCCCCTGGTCACACTCTGTCTTTCTCTGTCTCTCAGAAATAAACATTTAAAATAAATAAATTTTAAAAATTAAGTGTATACTGAACAAGCAAATAAAATTGTGGTGTTAGAAGTAGGAAACTCTTATTTCTGATATTCATTAAGCAAATACATGTAATGCTAGAATTGGAAAGGATCATAGCAATTCCAATTTACTGTCCTCATCACTCCCTCTATCACAGAGTATGGAAACTGTTGTTCAGGGAAGCTGTTTTTCAAGGACAACCAGGGTTAATGTTAGAATCAGTACTTGGAAACAAGTTTCTGTCTAAAACTTAGCTACAGTAATGTGACTGTATCCAAATTAGAGGTGAGAGAAGACATAAAAAACTTGAACCCAAACAACTTTATTTTAATTAATCCAAATCATTTTCCCCATATTGTACTAATATAAGAGGGTTAGAGTATTTAGTAATTAACTGGAATTTCATAATACCATAGAGCTCTAGATTGAAAGATAATTTTTAAAATCCTTTATAAAATATGCTTTGCCTTTAGGAAAAATATTCAGAGCCCCTCCCACCAAACCCCTGCCACCTCCTGCCAATTCCATTATCAAATCAGTTTTGCTTATACCCTGTTTTCAACAATATTCATACTGTTTTCAAACAATATTCTGCCAGTCGTGAGAACTTGAGGACAAATGATGTTAACTATTTTAAAGAGTGCAATATAGGAATTATAGTTTTTTTAACAAGCTTGCTAAAATGATTCTTTTAAACTAATTTTCTTTAAAAATTCAAAATGCAACAGGAAGCAGAAACAATACCTGTCATTATGGATACTATATATAATTCAGTGGGCAAGTTTTCAGCCAAAATATTATTAAATAAATCAAGAGGGATAATTTATTTTCTCTTGCTTTGGAGATGGGATGGTACTTAGAAGGTATGATTATGAAAAGTGAAAGTATATGTAAGAGCAAAATTTAATTGCTTCTTATTTGTCTTTCTGAGAAATTTACACAAACGCAAATTGAGATGAAACATGGTTATTGGATTATCATATGTGATATGTGAATAAGCAAAAACTCTAAATATTTCAAAATCAAATTAATCAAAATTAGACTGATACTAATCTATAGTTGATTTATGTTAATGGGAATAAAGTTATTTAATTTGTTTGATTCTTTTTACCAGGAATGTTACATGTGATGTCAGATGTGCAACTAATTCAAAGATTTTCTCTGGAGAGGAGCACTTAGAGAGAGTTTTATGAAGGTTACAAACTAGAAATAGGCAGTTCAACCCAAACCCATGGTCATAGCCTCAACCAAAGCCTCTTCATTTGCAGCAGAGATATCTTTAGAGACCTTTAGAATGTTTAATTAAGCCCCTCACAGGCAAACTTGGGAGGTTGTTGACAGCACATGACATGAACACTCTTAAGCTTACAAACTAAAGTTACTACATTCACCCTTTGGTGCAGAAATATTCAATACTTTGATATTATCCAAATGCAAAGTCTGAATTCCTTAGCTTGGCATTCATGTTCCTTCACAACCTGCCCAGTCTTCTCATTTTCTTTGACACAGACTCTGCTCTCCATGCAAGCTGTGATACTCCCTGTTCTCCAAACACATCTTTCATTTGCTCCCCTCTGGCCCTGGGCTCATGCCATCTACTGAAATACCATCTGCTTTCCTTTCCACCTCACTAATTTCTACCCATCCATCAAGGTTTAGCTCAGCTTCTATCTTCTCCATGACTTCATCTTTTTTTTTATTTTTTTAATGCAGAAATTTCTCATTATCTACGGCACTCATTTGAACTTAACATATGTGGCCTTAAATTTGTTGATTTATTATTTTTATGTGTGACTATTTGTTTTCCGAAGGTTGTAACTTGTAGAGGAAAAGGAAGTGGGTTCACATTTACTTAGCATTTGTTATGTGATCCTAGTATTTATATCTTACTTCAGTTTATCCTCACAATGCCATAAAATAGATATTATTCACAATTTACAGCTAAAAAGAATAAGATAACAAATGCCAACAAGTTCTTCTAGCTATTAATTGATAGGAGTATTGTTCAAGCCTAGATCTATCTAGCCCCCAAGCCCATAGTCTTTCCCAGTATCACAGCATGCCATATTATCCCCATCTAATAAAGTTTTTTTTTAATCTCACACAGTAGCATCCATGGTATATTTGCTATATACTCAATATCTTTGTGGTGACTATTTTGCTGAAGTCAGCCAAACCCCTATATCATAAAGACTAGAGCATAGATCCTCCCCCTATAATGTGAGGCTTCTTATTATCTTCGCATCATGTCCTCAAGATAGCAATTCAACAAAACCCCTTTATCTTTGTGTATCTATATGATGTCCATTAATCTGCTTGACTGAATAACTGACCAAATTAATTATCTGAATATGAAACATGTATTGTGTTACAGTCTTCTACGGAGCTGTATCATTTAGATAAAAGACATCACTCATAATTAACCTGCAGTTTTAGTCTTTTGTGGTTAACCTCCAAGCCACACCTTTGCTATTCCCCCTTGTACTAATACACATCTTCCCAACATGCTGAAAAGTCTCTTTGATTTCCTGTCACTCTCCTTTTTCTTAACATTGCTCATATGAATACAGTTGGATTTGTGGAAAAATAAAGAAGAGAGGGCACAGGAATACTAGCTGGCTCTTTATGCATGATCCCGGAGAATAACAGTCCCTTATTGGATTATCATGCTTTTGGATCTGTGCCTTAGCTACATGCTCTGAAACTGTTTTTGTCATTGTATTCAGAGGCGATCAAGCTTATGTGGCATTATTTCAAATTACTAATGTACAATAGGAAATACATCTGCTCAAGATACTAGAATGTGCTAATTAGCACATTTACTCCCATTAGGAAAAGCACTATAGAAAACCATTTTTAATGAGCATGTGGCTTGGTGAGTCTGGGCTCTGAGAGAGAAAAATCAGCCAGCCAGATGACCTTAATTACTAGTGTCATTATGCTACAGTGGTCACATAAACCCACCTTGTGTGTTACCCACAACCAACCAGTATATTCATATATATCAGTGAATAGAGCTGGAACTGGAACTAGAGAATGTCTCTAAGGCACAGTGCTGGAGATACATTGTCACATCTTTTCCCCTTAGCACTCTGGAAGACTTTCCCTCTATTCTCCTAATTTATTCAGGTTTATGAATTGTATAACTTCTTCTACATTCAGACATATTTTGATTAGCTTGCTAGGTTCTTCTTGCTTTGAGCTCAAGTTATGTCAGTTCTGTGAATCCTATCCCTATAGTATAACTTACTCCACATTCAAACTTACCTTGATTAGTTCCCCAGGCTCTTTCTTCTTGCTTTGAGCCAAGGTCAGGTCAGCTATGTATCCTTGACAACAGTGAGGTGATAATGCTTTTGTGCTTTATCCTTTTGTTTAGGGTATATCCTCCCAGGGGCCTGATTTTGTTCTGTGGTCTCTGATCTAACCCCCATCTCTTGGTCCACACAGCCCTGTTACCCATGCTACCATCAACTTTGGGCGCTAGAACACTAGCTCTTTGGGAACCTGTACAAGCTTTTTAGTCTCTACTAGTCTCAGTATTTTCTTCCTTCTCTTGTGTTCCCCCTCCATTTTGGGCCTCTGATTATTTCTCTTACCTATTTGCCAGCTTATCCAGTCATTTAAAAATATTTTATAAGTGTTCTATTCATAATTTTTAGCATTTTTGATTGAGAGGATTTTCAGGACAACTAATCTGCCACATGGCTGGATATAGAATCTCCATATACATTTTTCTAAAATACTTTTTCTGTCTTCTAGATGCTGTTAGTTCATTGTCCTATCTGAATTTTACTACTTCTCCATGGAGCAAACAAGTTATGACCCTAGCAAGGGTCTCTGCTCCACAGAGAACGTGTCTGGGTTCCCACAGATCCTAAATAGGTGGCATTAAAATTCACTATCATTTTCCCCAATGCCTTGCTTATTGTTTCTTTATTCATGGAATATATGTTTGTGTGTGTGTCTCTTATAGGTTCTCTCCTATTTTCCCAAATAACAAAAATAAATAAACCATTGTCATTAGTCTCCAGAACCATACAGATTCACAGTATAGACAGTCAGATAAACAAAATAATTTTAGAATAATAAGATCATCCAGAAGTGGGATGATCAATTAAAGGACAATGTGGCTTCAAAAAAGGAAAAGTGGTTAGTGTACCTCTAGAGGAGAGAGTGGATAAGGTAGAAAGAGAGTACCTGCCTTCATTTCTGAAGGCCTAGTAGAAGTTCTTAGCCAAGAACAGCAAAAGAAGGTACTTTTCTAGCCAGAAGAACAGCTTGGGCAAAGACAAGACAGGAAACAAGCTGGTGTGATGAGCTCTGGTTGACAACTTTGTGTGGCTGGAACATTCACTAACAGTGAAGTTAGGGATCAAAGAAGTAGGTAGTCAAATGATGGGGGACTTTGAATGTCATGTTTAGAAGTTTAGACTTTATCCTGTGAGCATACAGATTCCTGGAGGCCTTCTGAGCAAGAGGATAGCATGGTTAGATTTGTATTTTAGAAGGATGACTGGAAACAGTTTCATAATTTACTTCCCATTACACCACACAGCCTCTCATCATAGATGTTTGGGAGTTAACTGAAGTGATTCATAAACATCAGAGGTTCAGAGCTCAAGAAACATCCCACCAATCGCCACAAGAAAGCCTTCAGGTTTAAGTAGTCTCTTCCCTTTTTGAATCCTAAACCCCCTTAAACTATCTGTTTCAAGGAAGAAAAAACATCCATAAGACCATGCTCCCCTCTCCTGAAAACATCTTAGCTGGTTTCTAGCAGCCTCTGAGACTCGACCTGAACAAAATTATGCTGCTGTTGATCTGCCACAGCTGGAAGCATATCAGGCTGGCGTCCCTCCAATTGTTCAGCATTCAGGGATTTTATAATTATAAAGGCTCTTTACATCACATTAAAAGAAAAATAAAACTGTATAAATGAATGTAGCATATTTCATCCAGGTGATGATAAAAGGATAAAATCTCTTTAGAAGAAGATCAGTTGTTCTTTCTCTTGGCTGCTCTAGCTTATTGCACATGTTTTGGGCATCGCACATGTCCCTTCCTAGTCTTTTATAACTGTGTGTTTACATGTGGCTCCTCCCACCCCAAGGTCCTTAATCTTTGTGTTCACAGTGCCTGACACAAATGACGTACTCTGTAGATATTTGTTTATTGAAAGGTTAGATGGATAATTAAATATTTATTTTTAAGTGGATAGATAACTTTTTTAAAAACCTGATATTATGAGTAGGCAGGCTTCATCGTCTATAGATTCCAGACCTAAAATCTAATATGAAAACTGAAATTAGTAGACAGTGAGCACCTATTCTGTAGCATATTTTGGGTACAAATGAACAAGTGACATGGTCCCTGCTCTCAAGTTGACCACTCTAGCTGGAGAAGTAGACAAGCAAACCAACCCAGTATGATAAGTGTTATGATAGATAACTTGGAGAGAATGCTGGGGAGGCTGAGGAGGACATTGGAGATGGCTTCCAGCAGATTATGATCCCTGAGTTCAATCCTGAATGAAGAATGAGAGTTAGAATCTTGTTTCACTGACCATATATAACGATGTATAATAATGACTATTACTGGGCAGCTAGGCCATCTGAATTCTGGATGGTAATTGACAGAGTACATTAGAGTCCAAATCATTTCAGTGTGAAAATTATTACAATGATTTATATATTGGTGTTGTGCTATCATTTATTCATTCATCAGGTGTTTGTTGAGCACTCATCTAGGTGTATTGGGATGCATAGAAATGTAAACCATAACACCGTATCTTCAAGAGATTATAATCTTACTGGATGCCACAATGCCCTCACACATGAGATAGTTCATGGAAACACAGGGCATTATATTCACAGACCCAGAGTCATTAGCATAGGCAGTAAACATGCAGAAGTGAGAGCTGCAACTCAAAATAAAGTGATCTTTGAACACATCTAATATAAAAGGGAAAAAAATAAGACAGAAAGGAAACAAAATAAGATGAAATGAAAAGATCATCCAGAATGAGAGAACTTGAAAAGAGAACAGAGGTGGGGCTGAATGTGGAATATAAATCAATATGAAGTTATAGACAGTTACCATGAGCCAAGTACCACACTGAGCACCATAGAAGAAACAAACATGAAGCAGACATTGAATGTGCCAAGAAACTGTGAACAGTGCAGAGTGTCATTGCAAGCCCATAGCTGGAGCTACAGCAGAAGCATGTGTGGTTTGACCTGCACCATACTTCTAATTATTTTTTTTATCATTATCAACTTAAATTTCTGGAAAATTTGCATCAAAATCTAGATTCTTCACTTACCTTTATAAATTAGAGAATTTGGCAATACCTGTCAGTGTTTCTTCTTGGACAATTGTCCAGAGTTGAGCAGAAACATCGCTTTAAATGGAATGTATTCCCCAATTGGCTAAAATCCCTGCTCAGCCTGCTGCATTCATTTGCATTACCTATCCGAACCCTGTAGATTTTAGATTTTACCATATCTGGTTATAATCTAGCAAAAAGGAAAGACATTTACATAAATAATTATAATATGAAGTAGAGGGTAAAGCAGGGTCTAAAGCACTATAGGAGTTCGTTCATTCGTTCGTTCGTCCGTTCATTCATTCATTCATTCATTCATTCTGTCATTCAGTAGCTGTTTCCTGAGTCCCTGCTACATCTTGCTATTGCTGAAGTAGCCCAAGTGTCTAGATTCCTGGAGTTCAGAGTCTATTTTGGAGAAGGATACATTAGCAATCATTACACAGTGTGATAAATGCCATATTAGAGCTATATTAGAGTTAGGTATATATAGTTTACATTAGAGTTCACTCCTGATGTTGTCCATTTTATGAGTTTGAACAGATGTATAATGACATCTATCCATCTTTGTAGTATCCTACAGAGTAGTTTCACTACTCCAAATCCCCTGTGTTCCACTGATTTATCCCCCTCTCCACACAACCCTGGCAATACTGATCTATGTACCATCTACATAGTTTTACCTTTTCCAGAATGTCATATAGCAGGGAATCATGCAGGATGTAGCCTTTCCAGGCTGGCTTCTTTCACTTAGTAATATGCATTTAAAATTTCTCCATGTCTTTTCATGGCTTGGTAATTCATTTCTTTTCAGCACTGAATAAAATCGCATGGTCTGGATGGACTATAGTATCTATTCACCTACTGAAGGGTATGATGTGTCAATGTAGGTTCAGCAATTGTAGCAAATGTACTACTCTGATGGGGATTTTGATAGTGAAAGAGTCCAGTCATGTGTGGGGACAGGAGGCTTAAGAAAAATCTCTGTACCTTCCCCTCAGTTTTGCTTTGAACATAAAATTACTCTTTAAAAAATTGTCTTAAAAAAGGAAAGAAGAAAGAGACTAGTTCTGGTGTTTACTACCTGTGTGAACATAAGCGGTGTGTCTAAAGCTCAACTAGCTTAGACAAGTTAACTTATATAAGTATTATAAGTATCCATATAATAGAACTTGTAATTCTCCACAGGGTTTTCATCCTCTAACAGAAGAAAAAATGTACATGAGAACACTTTAAAATCGAGTTTAATGTAACGGGTTATTAGTATAAGAATTTTTAGTTACGGGTGTTTGGCTGGTTCAGTAGAAAGAACATATGACTCTTGATCTTGGGGTCATGAGTTCGAACCTCCCATTGGATGTAGACATTACTAAAAAAGTAAATGAAAGCTTTAAAAAGAAGAAAAAGTGTAAGTTAGAAAAAGTAAATCATTTGCAGTGCATTTAGAATATTTTATTTGCACACCACTTACAGATTTATTTCTTTGTCATTTCCTCTCATTATTAAAATAAACATCAAAAAGGCATCATAATTACTGTGATATATAAATTCTCTTTTTTAACAAAAAAGGGTATTTAAATCCTACAAGTTGACAAAATTCCACATAATTTGGTTTAAAAGACTTGTCCAGGTAAAATAGATAAAATCTAGTCAATCAAGAATTATATGTTTTATGTTCAGGAGTAACTAACAAAATTCTCCCAGTGGTAATAGGGAGTTTGTTTCATGAAGATCTTTTAAAGTTGTATTTTCTCTGCAGAGAGTCACTTAGCATATTAAACATGTAAAGATAATCCTTACTTCCAAAGGAATCATGTTCTCTCCCATTTTATTATTAAAATACCAAGGTTTCCCATAAAGCTTTCATTTTTTATTTCTGATAAAACCATGAGTAAAAGAAACCTTTTACTTTCCTCTTAGCTTTGTATGAAGTACAAATATGCTGCAATGTACAGCTTTTAAGTCTGAGAAACCTGAGGGGGAGATGAGAGACTCTTGCAAACTAGAGAATGAACCCATCTAAAGAGGGCCGTTGCTAAGAGTCAGTGTTCATAGAATATCTTTTTTTCATATAAAGTCGTAAATCTATATTTAATTCAAATTTTCCCAATTTTAAACATGAGCAACAAATTCAAAAACTTGTAAACACTGGGTCACATTAAGCCTATAGCTTTCTGATTTGCAACCTCTGGAATATATCATACTCTAGACTCTGGGATTTTGAGTGAGAAAATCTGTGTATTAATCCTGCCTTGTTTGCTTATTAAAATCAGTAAAAACTTGGATAAGCAGTCTCATTTCACTAATCTAAAAAGTTTTCTCTCTCCCTCTCTCTCTGCCCCTCCCCTACTTGATCTCCATCTCCTTCTCTCTCTCTCTCCCTCTCATAAATAAACATTTCAACATAAACAATGAAATGAATACTTACATACTTGCCATCTGGATTTCACTTTTAACATTTTACTGCCCTTGTTCTTTAAAATATCTATCCATCTATCCAGTTATCTGCCCATCTTCCCTTTTGGATCAGTTTGAAAGTAATTGCAGACATCTCTGTGCATCCTTCATTGGATTGTCTTGAGGATTAAATGGAATGATGCACATAAAGCATCAAGCACAGTATCTAGCACATAGATAAGCATATAAATAACCCCTTCCCTCCATCTATTTTTACTATGTATAACTTGAATGTCATTGGATGTACTAAGAGTGTATTTTAGACTTGAGGGAAAAGGGATATTTCTACAACTTTTTCTTCAAAATCCTGTTGGTCACACACACAAATTTAGACATAATAAAACAAACAGACATGGGAAGACTCTACAAATTGGAACTAAGTAAGACCATCTCAGAGAGAAGTGAAACTCTGGTGAATTTCTTAAATTTTCTTTCTACTTCCTATATGTTCTGGATGGAGCCCTGAAGACACCTTCACCCTGCACCCCTACCAATGGGGCCAGACCAAAAAAGCCTCTAGAAAAGCCTACAACCTACATCCAAAATATTGGGGAAAGGATAGACTAATAGAAGGGGGAGCCTTTTGATAATACTGTCCTAACTCTAGCCAAACACCAAAGGAAAAACTGTCCCCTCATTGAGTGCAAGTGGACTGTACAGATAGCTAGACCTCTAGCCCCATTAGGGAAAGCCAGGAGAGGCAGTTCTAAGATGACTCTGGATTTCCTCCACTGGGTTGATGTCAGTGGGCCAAATAAGAGCTGAACTTCCACCCTTATCCAGCAGCAAAGAGGCAGAACAAGGTGGCATGTTAGTCGATGTCCACCCCTCCCCCCCCAGTGGGGAGCTGACCTTGCACCTTCATCCAGCTTGCAATTACAAGCCTGTAATAAGATGGTGCTAGTTAGCATTCCATGTCCCTACTCCTGGTATTGGTAGGGACCACCTGAGAGCTGAACTATTACTGCTGGTCAGTGGCAATGAAGTAAAAGGGGGAAGAGAGAAGCAGTGCTAGTTGGCAAACCACTTTTCCTAGTAGGGCAGTGTCATCAGGGCGCAGAGGGGGAACTGAACTTCTAGCCCCACTCAGAGGCAAGGAGGTATAACAAAATGGCTCAAGACAGTGCTAGTCAGCACCCTCTTTTCACTCCCCCATTTGTGTCAGTGGTCCCATAGGGAACTGAGTTTCTATCCCACTACATGGCAGTGAGGTAGAATGAGTGGAATACTAGTTGATACCCCACTTTCCGCCTTGGTGTCACCAGGGACCAGTAGGAAGCTGAATATCCATTTCACTTGGATCTGAAGTTATGCCTAAATTGATCTACTATCTGAAAAAAAAACTAAGATTAAGTAGAATATAGCATTTTATACTGTAATACCTAAGTGTCCAGTATGTAATAAAATAAAATGACTTCTTATTCTAAGAAACAGGAAAATCTCCACTTGGATGAGAAGAGCAACTGATGTCAACACTGAGATGACACAGGAGTTAGAACTATTTGACAATGATATTAAAGTACCCATCATGCTTCAGTAGGCAATTACACACAGACTTGAAATAAATGGGGAAAAAATGAAAGTCTCAGGAAAGGAAAAGAAGATACAAAAAAGAACCAAATGGAATCTTAAAGCTGAAAAACATAAAAACCAAAATTTGAAAAAGTTCATTGAATGGGGTCAAAAGCAGAATAAATATGACAGAAGAAAGAATAGCTGAATCTATAGAAGGGCAGAAATTACCCTATCTGAGCAGAGAGAGAAAAATGACTGGAAATATACCCACTGCCTACCACTTCCTGTAATACCACCCTCAGCCAAGCCACTCTTTTGCCTGCATATAGCAATTAGCCACATAACTCATCTCACTTTTTCATGTTGCTCCTTGCATCTATTTTATGCCAAAGTAACCATTTAAAAGTATAAATCAAATCAAGTAATCTTCTCCTCAGTGGCTCCCCGTTTCTGTCAGGGTAAAAATCAAAGTTTTAGAATGGTATACAAGGCCCTACAGGATTTATCCCCTGTTGTCTTTCTACCTATGATAGGCAAGATTCTAAGATGGCCCCATGATTTCTACCCCATTATGTTACTTCCACAGTTAAGTTACCTTATATGGCAAAAAGAATTTGCAAGTGCAGTTAAGGTTACTAATCACTTGATCTTAAGGTAGGGAGATTATCTGGGTGGACCTAACTATATCACACATTGGAAAGCAGAAAGTTAAATCTAACTATTTGTGGAAGAGCAAGCCAAAAGAACTCCCAAATGAGAAAGGATTCAGTGTGCCGTTGCTAGATTGAAAATGGAGATGGCCACATAACAAGGAATGTGAGTAGCCTCTAGAACCTGAGAGAGATGCCCATCTGGTGGCCGGCATGGAAACAGGGAGCTCAGTCTCTGTGATAATTAATTCTATCTGTCATCTGACTGGGCCACAGGGCACCAAGGTATTTAGTCAGATGAGGCAGAGATGCTTGTTTTGTGTACAAACCTTCCAAGTACCTGGAACAGTTCCTGGTATAGTACTGCTTACAAAGTATTTGTAGAATAAAATAAATTAATTCTATGTTGAGTGATTTTTGACTTAATGCATTGCAAGCTCCATGTGTATTTTACATCCTTCCTCAAATTAGGCCAAACATAGATATATAATGCATTGCTTTGTACATGGGACTGTGATAACAAATAACAGATTCTGTGTCATCATTAGTACTAAAAAAAAACCCTCGTTTTTTAGTCTAGGAGGGCACTTTGCCATTTTTATATCATTAAGTACAGGAAAACATAACAGAAACTTTAATGACTGAAACTGGTATATTTTGGAGAGGACAGTGGGTGATATAAAAGTGCCTTGGTCAAACCCAAGACTTTGAGACTACATTTTTTTTTAAACTACTAATACTATAGAACTAGATGTCTTCTAGGTCCCTTAAAATTCTATATTCCATAGTTATCTATCCTCTACACAAATTCACCTAACTAATGGCTCAGGATTTGGCCTCTCATCTTTCTGCTTACAACCCTCAAATCTGCATTTGCAGCCCTCTCTGTGGATCCAAGTTCCTAACCTTTGTCTCTTATCATTTCTGAACATGGCATGGATGACCCACCATCACCTGGAATTAAGCGTGTCAAATCATACCCATCCTAATGATCCTGGATTCCAGTTCTCCCTCATTTTACCAATTACTGAGATGTCCTTCCCTCTGTCCTCTACTGTCTGAGTCAATCTCTGGACCCACTGTTTCTCCTTTCAGATTTCCTCTCTCACATTTCCCTTTCATTTCATTAGATCACTGCTGTCACCTTTGTTCATGCTCTTACCTCCTCAAATCTGGATTACTTGCTCAACATCCTAAATAATTTTTCTACCTCCCATCATATCAACACTCTCCTCTCCAGCAATCCTATAGAAGACCATTTGTTAATGCTCCTAAAATGGACTTAAATATTCTCAGTGCCTCAGAATCTTCCAGTGAGTCTCTACTACCTACAGAGTAAATTTTAATTAATAGACAAACAACTATGTAAGATATTTCATAATTTGACCTATTCAGTCTAGTCTCCTGACCCCCAAATTCTCTGCCTTGGGTTACATTCATCCTACTGAGTGCTACTGTGGTGAACAAATGAGTGGGGGGAGTGAAATGGCTGAAGGTGGTCTAAAGATACAATCTTCTACTTTTAAAATAAGTAAGTCCTGGGGATGTCATATGCAACACGGTACTTAATACTGTATTGTATATTTGAAAGTTGCTGAGAGTAGATCTTAAAAGTTCTCATCACAAGAAGAAAAAAATTGTAACTATGTGTGGTGATAGACATTACCAGACTCATTCTGGTGATCATTTCACAATATATACAAATATCGAATCATTACATTGTACACCTGAAACTAATATAATGTTATATGTTAATTATGTCTCAATTTTTAAAAATACAAGAACAGATTTTTTTTTAAAAAAAGGAAAAGTGGAAGTAAGGCTAGTTTAAGAAAATGTTCTGGAATTATGGATGACTCTGCATGGTATTTTGGCAATTGTTATAGTGAAAAACTCAGACATCTGCCATGAAATTAACATTTTTCTTGGAGTGCTAATGTATCTTACTTTGGGAAGATAGGTAGTGAATTGCTGATATCATATATCTCAATGAAAGTAAAAGCAACCTAAATCTTGAGTGGGTCACCCTATGAGCTGTTTTCTACTTGTTTCTACAGGGAGCCCCGCAAGGTTGTCCTGCACAAAGGCTCCACTGGCCTGGGCTTCAACATCGTGGGTGGGGAAGATGGAGAAGGTATTTTTGTATCCTTCATTCTGGCTGGTGGACCAGCAGACCTGAGTGGGGAGCTCCAGAGAGGAGATCAGATCCTATCAGTGAGTATTTCTTCTTAATCTTCATCTCTCCATATTTGACACCATTTGAGAAAAAATCACTTTGAATTATGACTGCAGTAGCACCTTAATTAAAAAGGAAAAATGGTTTATGGCTTTTAGTACATGTTGCAGTATAAATGGTGTTGAAGTGTTTGATGCTTGTTACTTACTTCCCTCAGATACAGGTAAAAGTGCTCATGTTTTCATTTAGGTTTTCTAAGACATATTTGTATCTGATAGAACATTGAGTTTATTTTTGAGAGAGAGAGAGAGAGAGAGTGCAAGTGGGCAGGAGGAGGGCAGAGAAAGAGGGAGACACAGAATCCAAAGCAGGCTCCAGGCTCTGAACTGTCTGTACAGTGCCCAACGTGGGGCTCAAACTCAGAAACCATGAGATCATGACCTGAGCCAAAGTCAGTCACTTAACTGACTGAGCCACCCGGGCACCTAAGAAGCATGCCTTTTTAAGTATATTATTTATTTTTGATGCAGATCTTTTTTCCAAAGCCATGATTGTACTCTAAAACAACATTTTTATAAACATATTGTTTGTTGCATATAACTATATAAGAAAATATATAAAACATGCAGTTGGGTGCCATTGAAAAGTGGTAGGAGCAGCACCATTTACCTAAATACAAGAATTACCAGCAACAAGTTATTAAGCACTTATTGTTAACCAAGCATTTTATAAAAGTAATTACTGCTTATCATAATCTCCCTGAAATGTATTGCCACATGTTTGAAGAAAATAAGGTTCAGGGACACCTGGATGGCATGGTTAAGCACCTGACTCTTGATTTGGCTTAGGTCACGATCTCAGCATTGGTGAGTTTGAGCCCCACATCAGGCTTTGTGCTGACAGTGTGGAGCCTCCTTGGGATTCTCTCTCTCCTCTCTCTCTGTTCCTCCCCTGCTCACACACACTCTCTCTCAAAATAAGTAAATGAACTTAAAAAGTTATGAAGAAAATAAGATTCAGAGAGGTGAAGTCGATGTTTACCTAACTAGAGACAGTAACAGCTGAGATTTAAATATTCAGGGTTTTTCTTAAGATTTTATTTTTAAGTAATCTCTACACCCATCATAGAGCTCAAACTGACAACCCCAAGATCAAGAGTTGCATGCTCCACTGACTGAACCAGCCAGGCGTCCTTAAATATTCAGTTTTAATGCCCATCACACCTGCCCTCTCGCTTCCTTCCTTCCTTCCTTTCCCCCTTCCTCCCTTCTATCTCTCTTTCCACCTCCTTTCTTTTATTGAAATATTTATTAACTGCTTCTTTTCACTAGATCAAGCTATCTTTCTGGTATAAACTCTGTGACAGGTAGTTATATCCATTGTGAGTATATATGATCATACTGAAATTTTGGTAATCATGCAAATAATACTGGGAAATAATCTAAGGAGCCTAGTTCTTATGGCTGAGTTTATGGTTCATAACTCAATGAAGCATTTAGTTTGCAATTTTCATTGTGTCCTTAGAAAAACTTAGCTTTGTTTTATAGCCATGATTTATAACTAGGAGTTTGCAAGTGAACTTATGTTATGCCTTCCCCACTTTCCCCTCCACACACATATGATTTACCTGTATAATATAGTCAATTGGTCTGAGTAAAGTGTCCACTGGTCTGAATGGATGGCCTTGCCTTATATGTTCTGGCAGTTTTCCCACACATTAAGGCCTCTGCTTACTTGTTAGCTAGCAGATGTCTGGATAGATAGAGTATGTGAGAAATAGGTAAGATCTCACATGAGGGCCTCATTCTGCCATCCAAGAGCCAAATATTACCCCTTCAACTACTCCCCTCTGCATACTTCTACACTTAAATGATACAGATCTATATAGATATACTTCTATATATAGAAGAGGTTTTATATATTTTTATTATCTATATCTATATACATCTCTATCTATATTTATATCTATATCTATCTTCCTCAACTTACAGTAGGGTTATATCCTGATAATCCAATTATAAGCTGTAAAGACTGTAATCAGAAATGCATTTCTTGGGGGCACCTGGGTGGCTCAGTCAGTTAAGCGTCCAACTTCAGCTCAGGTCATGATCTCATGGTTCATGGGTTCAAGCCCCACGTCGGGCTCTGTGCTTATGGCTAGCTCAGAGCCTAGAGCCTGTCTTCAGATTCTGTGTCTCCCTCTCTCTCTCTCTCTGACCCTCCCCTGCTCACACTTTCTCTCTCTCTAAAAAATAAATAAAACGTTAAAAATTTTAAAAAAAAGAAATGCATTTCTTAAACAGCCTCACAACACTTAAATTGGCCTTTTGAGCAAAATCACTGAAAAATCCTATTTTATAATATTTTGTAAGTGTTGTCTATATCATGTAATTTACTGAATACTGTAATGGAAGGAAAAACAGAATGGTTATATGGGTGCAGCATGGTTGTAAGTGTGTCAGTTGTTCACCCTCATGATTGTGTGGCTGAGGGGGAGATGCGGCTCACTGCCCAGCATCACAAGAGCATGTGCCCCATATTGTTAGCTTGGGAAAAAATCGAAATCCAAAATTTGAGGTACAGTTTCTAGTGAACATGTGTCACTTTTGCACCACCGTGAAGTTGAAAATTTGTTAGGCCAAACTATGACTAACTCGGGGACCATCTGCATAAGATGTAACTTACCTTTGTTGACATGTCTTTCTTTACTAAGTGGCAAAAGCTCCCTGAAAGTAAATTATTTTATATGGTTTTGTAGTTCCAGTATGTAGCATACTAAATGTATCTAAAATTCTCCCTAACAATGCTTTTTGAACGGAATAGCGTTGAGTAAGTGTGGTGATGCTTTACAATGTCACTGTAGCCTAGCAGATGGACTCTAAAATTCTGTGTAAAACATACTTAAATATTTTCACCGCCCTAGCTCACAATCTGTAGCCTGGGGACCATGTTCTTACTTCCCCACAGCCATTCACACTGGCACAGCACTTCCTCCCACACAGAGCACTTTCACATACATTAATTCTAGGGGTCTTTAAAGCAGTTCTATATGTCAAGATAAGTTGTTATTACTCTCACTTTCTATATCAGGAAAAGGGGATTCAGAAAAGCTGAATGATTCGTCCAAAGCTCCACAGCTACTGACTATGATGTTGGACTCAAAATCAAATCTCCTGACCCCCTATCATTGTTCTTTCTTCTCACGGTACAATCTCTCTTCAAAACCTGTCAACGGTCTCTTTCAACACTTTCTTGTCTCATTTAGCACTGCTCCGTGTGCACACATACTTGGGAGCACATGGAACTGTAAGAGCTAAGACTTCTGTGTTACTTTTGAGTCTGTCACTATTATAACCAATTTAGCCTTATAACCACGTGATGCCTGATTCTCATTTTTAAAGAAAGCTCTATGCCCAACACGGGGCTTGAATTCACAACTCCGAGATCAAGTGTCGCAGGCTCTACCAACTGTGCAGGCCAGTCACCTCCTTATTATGTTCATTTTAAGGGTAAAGAAACTGAGCCAGAGAGATGACATTAGGCTCTAACTGTTTAAATGAGAAATGTACTAAACCATAGGTTTTATTTGTTTTAACCTTTAGGTATGTGGTAGAAAAAGGGATGAGCTAATAATCTTATGGCTCAGTAAAGGAAATTCATAACTATTTCTGTTTTCAAAAGTAGATATATCCACTTAAATATTACTACTAGAACCACAAAAGAAAAGAAGACAACCAATCAGAATTATAGTCTTCTTGGAAATTAGATTTCGCAGAACTTTACAATAGTCTCTGATGTTCAGATATCATACCCTTTCTTATGTACCACATTTGCAAAGACAGTTCAATGATAAAAATATTATCTGCTTTTTTTAATTGAAAAGAGGGACCATTTCCCTTCTTTAGCTTTCAAAAAGGTGTTTAAACTGTATCTAGAGATTGCCTAGTTTCAAGGCCCAGTATTGGAATTTCATTAGTTAACACTTCAAAAAAAGAATAAACAGGCTGGAGAAGCTCAAACATTACAACAGGGGTAGGAAACAGCAGACTGGAATTATTAACAATGGAATACAGAGGATACAATATTTTGCCTCTACAGCTTACACAAAAGGACAAGCTATACCTTCCTGGAAAACACAAGAACAAAGCCTCTATATATCAATCAAGAGTTAAATACAAACTTAATGCATATTTTTAGATCATGTAAGATTATTTTGTAAATAACTTATGCTAACAGTAATGTAGTTAAGTTCAGAGAAAAAAACTGAAATCCCCAGAGAGGAGAGCTGTGGGAGTCAGTCTCTGTCCTCAACTGGTATTTATCGAGAAGAGACTTGAATAAGAGATAATCACCTTTCTTATCAGGGTCAGAATGTCCATTTCTGTTATCCAGAACTATTCTCCCACAGAGACTATACCATCCTCAGAGATCATTCATTTCATTAATGACTTACTATGTGATAGATTTTGTATCAGGGCATGAAATCTCAAAAGATGAATGAGATAAACATCCTTACCTTAAAGTTTTCACAGCCTAAAAGCAAATATATCAATATATCTGTTATATGGGAATACATAGATCTGGCTATGAATATGGATATAGATATAATATAGATATAGTGGCATACTGAGGAAAGAAAGGAGACAAAACACTTTGAATCATGCACATCGTAAGTACTCAGTCAGTGCTCCTATTAATACTAACAATTTTGCCTTAAGAAAGTGTTCAGTGTTTTTAAAAAATGTCAGATAACTCTAAAGAAGGCCTTTTATATAGAATTTGAGTTATTCCTTCTTTGGGACAAGGGCTTGGACCCAATGAGCATTTCCCAAAGTGTGTTTCCCTGGACAGTAAAAAAGCAGGATTGAATTAAGGTGCTAATGAGAGAAAGGGTTCCCTGGTATCAGGTTTCTCCACTAAAGAACTTTTCAAAAAATATCTGTTTACTGTATGTACTAGAAATCTCTTCAGAGGCAGATAAAGTACACATCTTTTCCCAAACGTATTTGATCATCAAACTTCTACGTGAGGAGCACTT